TTGTAAAATATTGAATTGCTTTCAAAGTAAAGTTTATAAAATTCTCCTTCTTTAATACTGAAAAGTTGTATTTATTTTAAATCGAATTCAGTTTGATTAGAAAAATAAAACTAAATTTAAAATCTTTAACTTTTTGTAAAACAGGTAAGATATGTTCCATTTGAATTTTGATTAACTCTGACTCGTCTGTTGGAAACCAACAACCAATTAATATTGATTACATTTTTCTTCAGCAAATCACACTTTTGTTTACTTTTTCAATTAACATACTTACGAAAAACAGCAGAATTTCCTATCAATAAACGTTATTTCAGCAAGAAAAGTGTTTTTCTTTCTTGCTATCCTCCATGGATAGGAAAGGGAGTGGAGTGAATTGTGGCCAATACCATTGCAAAAATAGTTAAATACTTCACTTGGAATATTTTTATTATATTCAATGAAAAAATGTAAATTGCTTTTTCTTTCTTTAGCTTTTAAAACTCCTTCAATAGAGAATTCATTTTTTTTAGAGTGTGTCAAATAGAATTCAATATTTTCAATTTGAAATATTCTGTCAACTGCACAAACGATTTTAAAATAAATGGTCTGTTCCATATTTTACTAATAATGATAAAAGAATCCTACAAAGTGATGTATAAATATGATAATCACATTGTAAAAAATTTGTAAATTCACAGTTAGGAGTAAAAAGGGATAAGCTATTGTTCATAATTTTTGAAATATTTACTTACAGTTCTCAGATATTTCTATACAAATCACTTTTAATATTTTGTATTTTGCTTCATTGTTTGGCTTAGAAAGAGAACAAAATATTTTTCCATCTTCTTCTTTATGGCAAAGACTTATGACTAGAAAGTGTTTCTGTAGAAAATATATATATTTTAATTATCAATTAAACACAGTTTTTGGAAAAAAGAAAAAAACCAACTTTTTGAACTGAATTAAAGCTTTTACAATTTTCTTCTTGAAATGTCATTTTCATTAAATCACATATAAATCCACATACAAATGTTTCATGTATTATTGAGTTGAAATATATAGGAAGAATCCCAAATGTTTTTGATTTAAGAAAATAATTTTGAAAAGTTTCATTATGGAAACCAAAAAAAACAGAATTCCAAAATGCTATATAGATATTCTTTGTTTTTAATTCAACATCTAGAAATTTTATTTGGATGATAAAGTTTTTAAATATTTCTAAATATCAAAAGAATACCATCAAGATCTTGAAATGAACAATTAACTGCTAACTCTTTTTTCTTTGTTTTAAATGTAACAACATATTGGCGATTTGCTGATAAAACAAACTCAACGCCATAAGTTGCATTCTCTTCTATTTGATTTTCATAAAAAAATTCATCATTCTACAAAGACTTTTTGCATTTTTTAAACTTTTGTGAATAATAAAATTTTGTCCAAAATTTCTTAAATATAAGCAATATTTTTCACCAAGAGTTTCTAAGGCAAAAATATCTGATATTTTTGTAAAGAAAATAGATAATTAAAAAAAAATCCTCTGTAGGAAAATATCAAATACATGATGAATTCTTTCTGAAACATCTCAATTGAAGAACCATATTTTCTTTTGTTCTATCTTCCATTCTTTAAGTTGATTAAAAAATATATTACCAAAAATAAGAAAAAACTGTACAAAAACTTACAATATACAACAATTTCTACTTTGTTTTTGTAATACAAGGAAATTATTCTTTTCATTAACATTAATTGGTTTCATTGAAATGAATGAATGAAGATTATCATATCCCAGTTTTCTACATATGTCATTAGAAAGATACAATGGTAATTGGTCAAATTTTACATAAGAAAATAAACTATGATTCAACAGTTTTCCCATCAAAATTCCCTCAACATGTCTAAGTTGATTAATAAACAGAATAACTGGTATTAAAGATTCTTACTGTGACCCTAATTCAACAGTGTATCAAATAATTTTTTATATTTTGTCGTCAATCTTCATTTTGACTCTGGAGGATGAAAAAAATGAAATTATAGGACATTTCTTACAGGATTATTATTTTTTCATAGGGGGAATATTATCTTTAGGCCTACAGAGTAGTATTAGGATTGCCTCCATTATCATTAATTGTACAATGAAGGAGACAGAATTATTTGGAGAAGAAAGAAAATGACATAGAAGAAAATATGTTTGTATTGAAAGGCATTCAATGAAAATAGAAAAAAATGGATTTTAAAATGTAGAAAATTCTGTATTATCGCTCTATTTCTTCATTTTAGTTAATAGATTTCTCAAATACAAACCAAAATTGATAAGATCTTTTTTGTTGTTTTTGTCATCCATCATCCTAAGATTATGAAAACTTGTAAAGATAGTATCCTTAATCTGTTAAAGGTTAATAAAAATATTCAATTGTTCATTAAATGAAAAATTAATTAATATGGAAAGAATTGACTAATTGCTATATCTTTTATTAACAATGCTGACAATTTCTCTGTTGGCATTGGTACAAATTTTACTTTATCAGTTACATCATCATTCAACAACAGGCTTAATTTTTTAACTTTATGATATTAGCATATGGCAATCTATCTTAAATAGATTTTTTATAAAATGTTTATGGGAAATTTATTAATAATTCATTAATCTTTATAATAGCATCCTGGATCGTCGAAAATCTAGTCTTGAAATTTCTCAATGGTGGACGTTTTCTGTCGACCCCCGTGACACCATAGACGAGTAGAGTCAATCATCCAATAAAAGGACTCATGTATGACAAATTACTAATTAAAAGTTTGTGATCTACTAGTCAACAAACATCTTTTATGTTAATTAATGCCGTTGATATCAGTACTCATCTTGGAATATTCCATTATTTGAGATTAAAGGTAAGAACATTCAGCAAATATTTTCTTAACTTGATTCATTCTTACACTAAATGCAAAATAACACTGACTTTGTTTGAACTATTCTAAACCCCATAATTGTTATGGAACAATGACCAATAGACATTAATACTGCATGTCAAAATCATTAATAACTTGTTAATTATAGGTTACATTCTCTATCTCCTTTAGTAACCTTTTTGCAAAGTAGCTTTTGTGAATTAAAAAGATAATTAAAAGTATATCACATATACTATGCAATCACTACTCCGGAAACAGTGAGACAGAGCAGAGAAAGGAGAGAAAGGACAAAATATGAATTTGTTAACATATGTTTTATTTGGTAGTTTAAAAATGTTGATACTATTTTAAAGAAAATTTTTAATTTTTTTCATTTAAAGGATTTGCCACTATTAATATCTTACAAGTTCTGAGTACAACCAACATTGCACAAGGAAAAATGGCTTTCCAAAGTTCTACCAATAGATCTCAAGACAATTTACAAGATTCAAATTTTGCAACTCTTGCAACACATTCACCTAAAAATATCACTAAAGATACAAATGTGATTTAAATATTCTATTTTTTCTTTTCTTCTTTTAATGAGTATTTTTTTTCCTGAACAAAATAATTTTCTTTTTCATAGGATACATTTGCTTGTGCAATGACTGATGCTGACTCTGGAGAATATTCATGGTGGGTAGTTGACCTTGAAGATATTTATTCAATTTCAAGTGTTTGTTTACTAACTGGAAAAAGTGGTAGAATTATTCTCCTAAAACAACCCTTTTATATTGCTGTAAAAGTTGTTCTTTTCTGATACAGGAATTTCAGAATTTGATATTACAATGGGAAATTCATTGACAGAACAGAATTCTTTGTGTAAAAGAGTACATAAATCAATCAAATATCCCATATCAGAAACAAATTATAATTGTTATACATGTTCTGAAGCAATAGGATCATTTCTCTTCTTAAAATCATACTCATTGGGAGGTGATATTTTACTATGTGATATTGATGTGAGAGGAACACTTTTAAAAGAAAGAGGTTAAAAAAATTCAAATTTTAAAATTAAACCTAATGATACATGAAAACAGAATTTCAACTTTTAAAAATGAATGATGTACAATTAATTGGAGGAAAACATTACTATATATTTAAAATAAATAGAGTTATTGATAGAATTTATTCAACTATATATCATAGCAGAGGTCACAGTATTGGTCGTTATTATGCACCATTCATTCTAATAAAATTTAATGAACTTCATGATTTCCATGGAATTTTTTTCATAGCTGATCCAAGTACAAGTAAGCTTTGAGTAATTTTTAGAGAAAAAAAGAGAAAAATAATTGAATAGAACTAAACTGGTAATCTTTGTCTTTTTTTTAGATTATTACTTTGAAAATGTTTATGGATCAGTTAAAATTTTACCAGAAACAGCTTTTAATCCTGATAGTAATTTTTGTTTTTATGATAAAAATTCTTTGAATAATCCATATCTTGGAGCTCAGGTTTGGTGGTGTAATTCAATCTATTCTGGTAAATACTTCCTTATTCAACAATATTACAATTATCAAAAATTTATGATAATGAAAATGGCAGAAATATTTCTCTATGGAAAATTGACAAATCTCTCAAAATATCTTAGTAAATATCTCTCTTTCTCTCTCTTCATGCATAAAATTATCATTAAAAAAAATGTTTTTACTCATTTCTTTAGCATTTTCTCATCAATTTGAAAATATTATTGAAAATGTGAAAATAAATAATTCAGAATTAACTACTCAACAAGTCAGTTCACTTCAAAATTATTTATCATTTTTTAGCAACAAAATAGAAATGTTTGGAGAGAGCATTATTTATGTTGAAACAAATCTTATCTATTTAAATGCTATTTGTTTATCTCGTTCGTATCAGTTTTGTTTTTTAGAATATTTTAAAATATACATTAGGCCTATTTGACCTATTGGATCTAATTTTTTATTATTCAATAAATAGTTGACAATGGACAATTTCTAACATCAGGAACTATTGTAAAATTGGAAGATTTTTTTTGGAATAATACTGTTACTGTAAATTTCACTGGAAAATTTGTACATGATCATATAGTTTGCAGAAAATTCCATTTTTCT